ACGAGGAGCGTCGCGCCGTCGAGTGAGTCCCCAGACAAGATCGACATCGCCGTGCGGTTCAAGAACGGCGATACCACGACAGTGACCGGCTGCACGCACATCCTGTACGCCTCCGGGCGCGTGCCCAACACGGACAGGCTCAATCTGGGCGCGGCGGGCGTCGAGACGGACAAGAAGGGCTACATCGTGATCAACGACTTCCTGCAGACGTCGGCGCCGCACATCTATGCGCTGGGCGACGTCAAGGGCGCGCCGGCGTTCACGCACATCGCCTACGACGACTTCCGCATCATCCGGGCGAACCTGGTGGCTCCAGCGGCGCGACTCATCCGGCTGTCGACGAAGGACCGTGTGGTGCCGTACGTCGTGTATACCGATCCACAGCTGGCGCACGTCGGCCTGCACGAGCAGGAAGCCCGCGAGATGTTCCCAGACAAGCGCATCATGACGGCGCGCATGCCCATCAGCTACGTCGAGCGCGCGCTCGAGACGGACGAGCCGCGCGGCCTGATGAAGGCCGTCGTCGACGGCGAGACGGGGCTGATCCTGGGCTTCTCGTGCGTCGCCACCGAGGGCGGCGAGCTGATGAGCCTGGTCGAGATGGCGATGATCGGGGCGATTCCCTACCGCAAGATGCAGGATGCTGTCTGGGCGCATCCGACGTGGGCGGAGAGCCTGAACATGCTGTGGATGTATTTGCAGTAGTCGTATTCTTCAGTTGAAATAGAATGTGTGATAGAATGTGTTATATCAATTCATGAGACATTCGTAGTTGCATGATTCCTCAGTAGATACCATCCTCAACAGAGGGATCAATCCTTAACTACTGGGACAACAACCTTTGAACCGCCTTCACCAGCCCTTTGAGTACGTACCTAGGTAAATAGTCGGATTAGACAAGATCTTCACCCCCTATAACTACCTATCTACCTACCTAATTGGCCAGGCAAAAAAGCAAAAAGGAGAAATGCAAGCAGTCGCATCCGGCTATTCTTTTCAGTTACTGATTCCTTTTTTTTAACCTTAAGTGTCGACAGCTATTATAGAAGAAGAAAAGGGACTCCTTGTCCATGTTAACATACTGAAGTTCAAAAAAAAAAAACGAAAGAATGAAAACAGAAAAGGAAAGGGGGGGGGGGGTTGGGGAAAGAAAGAGAGAGAAAGAGAAAGGGAAAAAAAAAAGAAGAGAGAGAGCGAAAGAGAAAGTGGGCCAAAATAAGCAATTATATTTATCTACTCTTATATTATCTCTCCCATTCCATGCACATATACACATTCCAATAGCTTTGATAGCTTCCATTTCTTGAACCGTGCGGTGCATTCATTGATAGGAAGATATATCGATCTTCGCTTCTCGTTGAAATGAGAAATTGTCTTTCCTCATCTGTATTAAAAAAAAAGGTGGTAGACCAATCTCTATCTATCGAATACATCCCATTAACCGAAGAAGCGTGGTGACGGGATTGTATGGAAGTAACATATATGCCTTGCCAGCTAACCAAGTAGAAATACATGTAAAACATCCAAACCCAGTATTTTGCCTATGTATGTATGTATGTATGTACTTACCAGATACAATAAAGAGAACTTCTAAGCCTCGCAGTCTTGAGATTCCTGATTTGGTTTTGCTGGCTTTGTGCTGGCGTTCCAACTTCTCTTGTCTAAGTACGGAGCATTAATATTAATATTAAATGCTTCATAATTGGGCTCAACCACGAGATAGCTAGACTAATGCTGTCCTACAGACAATACTCCATGTAAACAGATCTTTGCAAGGTATCACTGCAAGACGGCCTGCTCCTGACCGTCCTTATCGGATCACGATCCGACGTGACGGCCCATAATTGTGGATCGACGGAGCTGCAGCATGTGTCGTACAACGCCTGTCAAGTACGGACCAGATTGAAATTGCAGGGATAGCATGCGACTCATTAATTCAGATAGAAGGTGTATCTTGGATTCTTTGGTTGCGCCCGATTATTTATTTATATATTTAACAATGCATTCGACAAGTCGATTTCAGTGTGAGTACATATTGTTCTGTCAGACTGCACAAGGAAGAATCTCTTGAATTGAATTGAAATGGTATTTAATATTCCAGGTGCGATGGTGCTGTGTGCCGTGATGCTCGCAGCAACAGCTCTGTTGATGAGTGTCAAGACCTATGGATTGGTATGGAAGCATCTTGATCCGTTACTCGGGCTGAACAATCTCTAGTCAGACATAGCCGAGTTTATATACTCAGTCAGGCTACTTTCTGCGCTAAAGAAACGGCTGAAGGCGTGGCTCTTTCTGTTTTCTGGTCCTGACATAATCCAGCAGGGATACGACAATGTGAGCAATGCCTCATTTCCACTCTAAAGCGATAGACTTACTGATTGATGTCAGGCAAAAGGGCAGCCCTTTGAGATCCTCACACCAGACACTCGATACATCTTTGTCTCTTCGCAGAAGCATATCAGAGAAATAGACAGCGCTCCATACACGGTCCTTTCTCTCCAGGCAGCATCGAGGCAGGTTCGTCAGGCTCGACCGTCCCGAAGAAGCAAGCAGAGGTAATGTGCGGCAGATCCTTCAACCCCAGTACACAATGCACGGCTTCAACTGGTTTGATCGACGAGGAGCAGAGGGCGTTGGCTCTGTCCGCGCGCTTCGCACGCTTCTGACCAACAATCCGCGCCGTATCCTGCCTGATTTGCGAGTGGCTATTGCAGAGGATTTTGCTCGTATGCAAGCGAAGTATCCAATCGTAAATGGTAGGACTTCACAATCGATGGCGTATTTTGAGATTGTCACTCAACTATAAAAGTCAATCTAGTACGTTCTACTGCTCATACTGACGGATCCAGGCTCCAGACACTCTCCGGTATATCCGATCATCGTCAGACTCACCGTTCTGACAAATGCCCTCGCATTCTTTGGAAAAGACATAGGTATCAAACAGTAGCCACCACACTACAAAAACTATTACTAACTGCGCACCTAGCTTAAAACGACGAGTTCATGAACTCTGCCTTTCAATACATTGAAGAGACACTCAAGACGGCGGAGATAATCCGCTTGCTACCGAGAGTCATTGCTCCGTGAGTTAATACAAAAGCCATAAATCCGCATAAGAGAATAATAAGTGCTAGGATTGTTGGACATGTCCTGGCGAAGCGACTCTCCTCCAACAAGACAATGTATAACGCTTTACTCCCTGTCGCAGAGCAACGCCTCCAGGAAAAGGCCGTGGAGCAGCAAGGGCAGAAAGTTGAGAAGCATGTACTGTACAGTATGCGTGCCACACGCAGAGCGACATCCACTGACATGCACAGAACGACTGCATCCAATGGATCATGGAGACTTCGCCCAGAAATAATCCATGGACCGCACAGCGCATCGTCTACGAACTGCTGGCAATCTGGTTCGGCTCGGTGCATGCCATGTCAACAGTAAGCATGCATATCATATACCAAAGCCCTATATCGAACAACACGTTCTGAGTCAGCCCGCTAGACAATCACCTTCGCAATCCACGACCTCTGTCTCCATCCCGAGTACCTGGATCCGCTGCGCAGAGAGCTGAAAAGCGCCCAGTATGCTGCGTTTGAGCGAACGGTGCAGGGCCTACCGCTCCTCGACAGCTTTATCAAGGAGTCTACCCGGCTGACGCCGCTTGAGTCGAGTACGCACCACGCACGGTTTTTATATTTGAATATAAGTTGAATTGGAATATAAGTTGAAATTTTCCTGTCCATGCTGATCCGTTAGTGAGCACACGCCGCCACGCCCTCCAGCCCTTCGTCCTGTCCGATGGCATCCAGCTCAACGTCCGCGACTGGGCATGTACTCCCATCGGAGCCATGATGCGCGATCCAGACCACTACCCTAAACCGCTACAGTTTAGGGGCTTCCGCTTTGTCGACGAGAAAGTTCTCGAGTCTGCAGGTTTACTTCGTTTCAAGTCCCTGCAACCAAGCCCGTCAACCCTCACCGATGTAGGCGGAAGCTGGCACGTTTGGGGGACTGGGCGGATGGCATGGTGCGTACAGTATCTTACCTTCACTTGTCTCGTTGTTCTCTTTCTAGTCTACCTGGTTAATAACCAGTAAGAGTCCAGGAAGATACTACGCCGCGGCGGTAATGAAGACAATGCTGGCGCATGTGATACAGAATTACGACTGCCACCTAGTCGACAAGGACGCGCCGCGATGGTTCGTCTGGCGCTCGAGTATGCTTCCGATGGAGAAGACGAGGGTTGGTTTTCGTCCTCGACGGAGGCAGTAGTCCTTGCCTACTCTTGTCTGTCTTTTCGCTTATATATTGGTCCCCTAGGAGTGTAGTTTCATCCATGGAAATTATCGAATCAGTCGTATTATTGGGCTTTATCTGAGTCAGAGCTCCAGAGTCCTAACAATACCCGTATAGATGATGCCGTAGTCTCGTATTGAGGTAGTTTTCTATATTCCGAAAAGATCTACAGCTGCAGGGTAGTTGTCATAGCGCTTTTTTTTTGTTTTTCTTGAGTGGAAAATTTCTACATCTGCCTATGTAAATATGACTAACTGCTGAACTGGAGATAATACATGATGTTGAGTGAACCTAATAGTAGTCATGCTGAATACACCTGATTCTCTTGTATTGCATTCTCTTGAAATACCTCTTACTTGTTTAATGCCTTACGTCAAGAAATTCCATATACAAAACCTAGCAAATGCCAGCTACGAAACACCATTGACATACTCCTTCTTCGCCACCTGCATCGCACGAAGCGCCTCCTCAGCAGCATCTCGCGTCTCGTTCTGCTCTGCCAGCCCTTGTAGACGCCCTTCCCAGAACTCCCATCTTACCAGACTCATCTCCTTCTGGCCCTTCCACAAATCCTGCCTCTTCTCCAACGCCCAGCTCCTCTCGCCATGCACTGCCCCTTCATAGATCAGTCTGCCCGCAACCTTGAACCACTCCGCTGCCATAGGGATCTCAAAATCGAGGACCGCATCGCTGCGTTCGAGCGCTTCGCTGATGCACTCGTACCCCCAGTCGAGGGGGATGCCGCCCACGCCTGCGGCCACCATTTGGGCCTCGATGCTGGCTATCTTGACCACTTTAGCGCGGAGAGCAGCTCTCTCGGAGGTGGTTATCTGCTGCTGCTCAGATATTGTTCGTCGCCAGTCACCACGCTTGTGCTCGTCTGACCACTGGTGGCCAAACCCAGGGAGGCCGTTCCAGGGAGGGCCATGGTGGAGCGAGGCTCTTGCGCGGTCCGTGAGATGCGATTCCTCGGGGAGATGTTCGATGGCAGCCATGAGCTGGATCAACGCAGACGTCTCTTCTGCGGACGGCCACTCGACCAGCGCGTCGGTCAGAAGACCCCATAGACGGTGGAGATTGTCTCCGGGCTCTGCGGAGGTCGCGACGGGGCGCGTGATGGTGTAGGCTGCTTGTTCAGCGGTGGTTTTTCCTTCGATGTACTCCTGCAGAGCCTGCGCTTCGTCGGGGTGGCAGCCATCCTCGACGCAGCCGTCTGGCGCGAGTTTTTCTTTGAACCATGCTGGTGATATAGATGCCATAGTGTGTAGCTAGGTAGATAGTGGAGAGATGAAGTAGTTTCTGAATCAGTTGTGTCTTCTTTATCTGCATATGTATGTCACAGCTGCAGTATATTGCTGCCTCGAGAAGAGCCTCTCCTGCCCTATTCGGTTAATCTAGGATTAGGCAACATCAGCTTGGGGCCGTTTCGAAGTAGACATCATGCTGGATCCGCCGAATAATGAATCAGATAACAATAATAATAAAGAAGACGTGCATTCTTCCGTCTTTGGTCATAACCAACCAAATCTAGATTTAGTGCACTCTGTACATACAGGGCGCAGCCAACAAACATGTATATGTATACACCCCGTACAGCGGACATCGCATATGCAGGTACGGTAGTAATTATTCTTCCCAGATAATTTCCGAGAATCGAAAATCCTGCCTTCATCAGACAAGATAAAACCTAACTCTGTATCTGGACATCACATCAGAAAGATACTCGCCGGGTCTTGGATCTTGGGGGCCAACACGACACGTTTTGGTTTTGCGAGACTACCTAATTAATATGCAGGTCAGCTTCAGTTTGTACATACGTTAGGAAATAATGTGGGGAGGGTACAAGCTGTGTAACGAATGTACCCTGTTGAGGACGGGACCATATGAGCCTCCTGCAGCTATCTAATTATATACTGTTGAGTGTAGTACAGAGGACAGAGTACTATACCTGTACCTGCACTTGGGGGCGAAATACATATGCTAATCAACATGAGAGATCTCCAGCACAGTAAGCCGCCAAGATAATCCATATCTACCTATATGTATATCCCTGTTTTCACCACCGCCAATGTCACTCACCAGAACTTTATTACCTCATACCTACTTTCAGCTCCAGCTTAGACCCGACTGTGCCTGAACAAGGGGTGCTCCGTGATACAGCCCCGACCAAACCAACCGGGGGGCAGAAATCGTATACTTAGCAGCTTTCACAAGCGAACATCGCAAAGGAAGGAATATTATTCTGGCAGGAATTGATGGACCTTCTATCCACCGATTTGCTTAAAACCAATCCAATCCAATGCAATTCTCACTGTGTGAGTATAGTAACACAGTTCCATATATGCACATTAGCGAGTCATGATTGTATGATTATACATACAGCGATTATTGGGGTCTAGTCTATCATCTGCTTTTTTTTTGCCGTCTCAACTCATTTCAATCGCAAGCAGCAAACAATACTTAAGTCGGGATGTGTCTCGCCTTGAAGTAAGTACCTGGAAGAAAAGAAGTCAGTCAGCATAGCAGAGCAAGCAACAGAAAGATCCTGCAGCGATCATATCATATCATTCCTCTCCATTCCATCACTGATTGATTTTTGTTTTAAATTTTCACCATGAAGTTCTCCCTCTCCATCGTTGCAATCCTCTCTCTCGTCGGGGCGATTACCGCTCTGCCTTCGCCTGTCAACCCGCCAGAGGAGCAGAAGGATCCTCCTCTTGCCGCTCTTACTGTATGTTATAAAAAAAGAAGAATTTGAAGAGAGATTCCAGTCTAACTCTTTGTCTTCTCTCTCGCCTTGATTGATTGCATGCAGTTGGCGAATGCACCCCCTCACAATGAGAAATTCCAATGTGGTATGTCTATATAACAGTTTACCTACTCATATAAAAAAGGACAGAACTCCTGACTAACTGTACTGTACACAGGAGGAAACACCTACACCGGATACGACATCTACGTCGCCGCTCGATACGGTCTGAGCCTGTACCTTGCCAAACAGACGCGAGGGCGTGAGTATTCCACATACAAAGGTCAAGCTGAACAGAGTCTAACGATCCCAGGAAACAAATACCCCGAATCCTTCTACAGCGACGACTCCAAAGGCGTCAAACTGCACTTCCCACCCGACTGCCCGGCCGACCACAGCCGCTACTCGTTCCCGCTCAAGAAGGGCGGCGTGCCGTACAACGGGGGTCCCAACAACCGCAACCAGGGCGACGAGCGCGTCGTCTACTACTATGAGGATGGCGAGATCGATGGGGACACAAAACACCCCAAGGCTTATTACTGTGGGATCATGACGCATAAGGGGGCGGCTGTGGGGGGGTTCCATCAGTGCTGAGCGGGCAGAAGCGCTCGCTACATTAGTAAGAATGGGAAGTGATATAGAATAGTTCTAGTTAGATGTTCTTTATTTTGTTTTCATAGACTGCCAGAAGGGGGGGAGGGGGGCGGGGTCCAGTTTTGAACTTGTCCTGTCCAAATATATAGTTTTATAGTTATGAGGCACATTACCATGCTATCCGCTTGGATGCTGCCAAAGTCGTTGGACCGAATACCTGACCTCCGTATATTGCCTCCCACAAACCTTCACGAGTAACCACGTCTTTTAGACGTCCAGCAATCTCTACTCGATCTTCAGGCATCTTGATTTTGCCGAGGTCTCGTTGTGTGGACTGCCTTCATCTTCAGCCATAGTCGAAAAATTTTCGCGTAAATTCTGAAATTCTGGCTCGACACAACAAAGACTACCAGTCAAATCTTCGGGACAGCATCTCGATTATTAAACGACAGTAGAGAATTTGGGTAAGAGGCTCACTGGAGCGCAAGAGTATAAGCGTGACTTGCTGGACAGCAGGAAGGAAAACAGTGAGCAAATAAATCGGTGGTGGGAAAGCGGGAAGAACAAGAGAAGTTTCACATCGTGTATTATTAAGATCATTTGCAGAAGAACGAAGATGGTCTAATGAGAGAAGCATTTGTTAGGGGGATCTTTGTTGGCTTTCACTGATAGTGGAAGATCTATGGACTCTACGAATGTCCTTGACAATTACCCGATATTGACCTTCGTTTCAGTGATATTTTCCGAAACTCAATGTGCTGCAGCATCTAGAACTAAGGTACAAAGTTCCAGAGCAATACGGAGTAAGATGGATGTGCTGAACCCATTGGGCCGGTCAAAGGCGATGACTACCCAATTTGGAAAGTTTGTCCGCTTATAGTCGTCTAATTGACGTCCTCTGCAAACTGTTGTTCCATTTAGAAATTAGTTGACCTAAAAATATAGAATCTATTAGCACGTGTATGGGAATTAATCTGCTTCGAACAGAGAAGGTGCTTATTTTGAATTTGGGGGGGGAAAGCGCTGCAACATCTGATCTAGGAATTGTTTGAGCTGCAAAGACCCCAACAATTTCGTTTATGCCTGATTGGTCAGGTTGGTCAAGAACAATATCCAATCAGCGATTACATGCCCTGCACATTGAGAAACGGAGTAAATATGTACTCGTACATGCTTCTGCATCATCAGAACAGACGCATGAAGGAACAATGTCCAATGATGACATGTCAAAAGCAGCACGCAACAAATAGCCCCATCCAAAGTATATTCTCTCCATCTGGGTACTCCCGCGGCTGCTAGCCAAGGCGGTTGACAGGTCCACTTGACTTGCAACGGCAGCAGGTTATACTTTCAACTATGGGGAGGTGCATCGTGGCAACGTTGTTGACAGCAGGACGGGTAGCCGTTAGCTATCCGCACGCTCCCAAAATTGAGAGGAGAAAGCCCCGCATGACGCATGCTGATCGAATCGTGCATGCATGGATATGTATGCAGATGTTGGAGTCACTGCTACCCAGCCATGTCATTGCATTCTCAGTCTGCACAGAGAATTCCTTGGCAATTTTCACGCCCAATCTCCGCATGCAATGCAGGTATAGAGTTCAGTGGCAGGACGGAGTGAAAATTAGAGCTGCATTGAGCATTGATCCTGCAAAGCCAGTCAATATCAATATTAGCAAGTGTCAACGGTCTTCTGCTGAATCGACTGGGCAGCTCCTTTGCACTTTCAACTCACGATGCAGATCGATCTTGCTATACTCTGTACGGAGTAGACTCGAGAGAAAACCCCGGTTCTCGTCGCTAAGCTCAGGCTGGCGATATTCAGCGATGTCTATGATGCGAGGTTAGTCTGGTCGCCGCTGACAAATCACTGCAGGGCTGGCTGAACGCTAGTCCCAACCGGGACAACGCGACGCGTCGATATGCGCGCCAACGAAATCTCGGAGCAATCCATGGCTTTGAATTGCTTCTCCCGCCGCCCGGACCGCTGTGCTGGTACGCCTAGCGATGATCGATCCATCTGCTAGCAGTCTAGTCTGCAGCTAGCAGCCTGATTTTTGGTTTCCTGCGCTCTGCCCACCTACTGCCCATCCAGGATGCGTCCAAAGGCATTGGCAGCCTCGATTACTTCCTCAGAGGGCAAGAATGCTCAAGCAACGCAGATGCCACCTCAGAGGTAGCCAGTTGATAAGTGCTCTACGATTTACATTCTATCTGCTATGCGTTGCTCGCTGACCTCGCTTCCTAGTTTGGTAAACTGCAAATACAGCACAAGCAAGGCTGGTCTACTGACTTCCTCTGCAACATGCAATGACATACCCTCGTATCGTCCAATCACCCAACCACGGCTGTTCATCTGCATAGCAAGCTGCCACCCAACGGGGCCTAGACGGCGTGGCTGGCAGGCAGCTGCCAGCTGCGGCATTCCGCATTTGACAGAACTTTGCGTCCAGTGTCCACAATCCATGCTCCGGGACCCGCGTAGCATTCCGCGGTGGTGCTGTTTGAGGCACGCGGAAAAACCGCCCGCACGAGTCGTCTTGGCGATTGCAGGACGGAGCACGGAGTACGGAGTCCTCCGTAGTTCTTAGCTTCTTCAGCTGCTATTCGAGTCTGAGCGTCTGGTGGATCTCGTTCCTGATCAGCGCCGCGATCTCAGTGGCGCGGGACCATGGCTCGACTTTCACAGCCGGACCCTAACTCTATATCGCGACCCAGCACCGCGGCCGAATCACCGCGGTGGGTTCGCGAGAACAGATGCTGCCACCACGACAGCGGGAACCAATCGCCACGGTGGTTGAGCATATCCCACGGCCCAGGCAGTTGATAGCTCCAATTTGCCGTCCCAGATGGAGCACGCCATCTCTTCGTGGGGTTGCGGGTAGCTGCAGCACACAGAAATGCGGTAGCGACTTTAAATAGCCCAAAAGGCCATCCACCGGGGCGGCATTTTGCCTCCATCCCTGGATAGATGTGAAGACCCAGCTGCCGTCGCTGGCCTGCGCCCACGATGGCGGACCTGGACGTTCTTGGCCTGTTTGCCAAGCGCGAGAGCAACCTCACCGTACGTCCTCTAGACAAGACTGCGGATCTGTCAAAATGTCAGCTGGGCTAACATCGGTCTGCTGGCTAGAATCCGAACAATGACCCCAACATTGGTTCTGCTCGGGGAAACCCGTCATCTACCTCGTCGGAATTGGTCAATGGTTTGGGCGTCGGCAACAGCTCGACTTCTGGATCGGCCCTGCTGTCAACTCTCTGTCCGGCCCTGGTCATCGCGGCGTTCTGGTTCGGTCTTTTCCTCATCTGCCGGCGGACGCAACTGCGATGGTATGCTCCGAGGACGCATTTACCCAACTTTCACCATCAGTAAGTAACGAGCGGTCTGTGTCGAACATTAACATATCCTCCTGACTGTTCCTCAGTGAACGGAGTCCTGAGCTACCGTCGGGCTTTGTGAACTGGTTCGGAGCCTTCCTGGAAATCTCCGATGCTCACGTCCTTCATCACTCCTCTCTCGACGGCTACCTCTTTCTTCGATTTCTCCGAGTCCTCTGCACCATCTGCCTCACCGGCGTCGTCATTCTCTGGCCCATCCTGCTTCCGGTCCATGCCACGGGCGGCGCGGGTAACACGCAGCTGGATACCTTTAGCTTCAGCAATGTAGTGAATCCGACACGGTACTATGCCCACGCGATAATGGGAATTGTCTTCTACAGTGAGTGGCTTTTCGGCGACTACTCGTCGAACTGGGGAGTGCTGACTGGGAGATTAAAGCGTTTGTATTCTACGTGATTACCCGGGAGAGTCTGTTTTATGCCATTCTGCGTCAGGCCTATCTCAATTCGCCTGCTTACGCGGATCGGATTTCATCCCGAACCGTCCTGTTCATGTCGGTGCCGGAGTCATACAAAAACGAGAAGAAGCTGCGCCAGGTCTTTGGCGACCGCATCCGCCGCATCTGGATCACCTCGGACTGCAAAAAGCTCCAGAAACTGGTAGATGAGCGCGACAAGCTTGCCCTGAGCCTCGAGTACGCCGAGACGAAGTTTATCCGGTCCGCCAACGCCGCTCGATTGAAAGCGATGAAAAAGCGAAAGGGATCGGAGGTCTGTGCTGATTGCGAGACAGGCGAGACATCGTGGGCCCAAAAGGCCAAGCGGCCAACCCATCGTGCGAACTTCTTTGGCGAGAAGGTGGACAGCATCCAGTACTACCGCTCGCGCTTGGCAGTGGCCATCAAGGAGGTGGAGGAACTGCAGCAGAAACATCGCAACGGAGAAGCCAAGTACCTGTCGGCGGTCTACGTCGAGTTTCACACGCAGACCGACGCCCAGATCGCCTTGCAGACCCTCTCGCACCATCAGCCGCTCCACATGACGCCGCGATTTATCGGCATTGCCCCCAGGGAAGTGGTCTGGTCTGCACTGAACCTCAGTTGGTGGCAGCGGATCGTGCGTAAATTCGCCGTCAAGGGTGGCATTACCGCGTTGATCATCTTTTGGTCGTTTCCTGCGGCCATCGTCGGCACCATCTCGAACGTCTCTTACCTCACCTCTGTGGTTCCCTTCTTACGCTTCATCGACGATCTGCCGGAGGTCCTCAAGGGTGTCATTGCTGGTCTGCTGCCGTCGGCCGCTCTGGTGTTGCTGATGTCGTTGGTGCCCATTATCTGTAGGAGTAAGTTTCCTGATGCTGGCGTCTGATCGAAGATGAAAACTGACAAAAACGCAGTCTGCGCGAGAAAAGCCGGAATGCCATCTCTGGCCCGTGTTGAACTCTTCACGCAGAGTGCACACTTCTGCTTCCAAGTCGTGCAGGTGTTCCTCGTGACGACCATCACCTCAGCGGCCTCAGCTGCCGTCGGTCAGATTATTCAAGCGCCCATGTCGGCCAAGGACATTCTGGCTGAGAATCTGCCCAAGGCGTCTAATTTCTACATCTCGTACTTCCTTCTTCAAGGATTATCGATGAGTTCGATTGCCGTGGTGCAGGTAGCCGGTGCCATGATGTTCAAATTACTCGTCATGTTCTTTGCGACGACGCCACGGAGGCTCTTCAAGCGGTGGACCCAGCTGACCGGTCTCAACTGGGGAAATGTCTTCCCTGTGTTTACTAACATGGGGGTCATCGGTAAGCTGCCTACTCCTTCCGCCAAGACTGCAATACTAACAGACCTGCAGCGCTTACATATTCCTGCATCGCGCCTCTAATGCTAGGCTTTGCCTTTGTAGGACTTTACCTGGTATATCAGGCGTACCGGTACAACCTCATGTTTGTGTACTCGATCGAGGTCGACACCAAGGGACTGGTGTATCCCAGGGCGTTGCAACATCTCATGACAGGGATCTATCTGGCCGAAGTATGCATGATCGGGCTGTTCTCGATCCGCGCGGCGGTCGGGCCACTGATCCTGACTGCCTTGTTCCTGATCCTTACTGCGCTGGCGCATATCTCGCTGAACGAGGCGCTGTCACCGCTGATGACCTTCCTCCCGCGGTCGCTGGACACTGAGGAAGAGGAACTGCAGGCCAAGGAGGTGGAATACGTGCCGGCGAGCCAGTCCCGCTGGGCGCGCATCTGGAAGTGGTTCCACCCGAACCTGTACAAGGACTACGCCGACCTGCGGCGCAAGGTCCGCCGCGACATCGTGCGGATCGAGTACTCGGAGAAAGAGCTGCAGGACGCGTACTACGAGCCGTGCATCACGTCGCCGACGCCGCAGCTGTGGATCCCGCGGGACCCAGGCGGCGTGAGCGAGGAGGAGATCCGGCAGACGAGCGCGGTGATTCCCATCTCGGACCAGGGGGCGCATCTGGACGAGAAGAACAAGATTACGTGGGACAAGTATGGCACTGACCTTCCGGTGTGGGAATGGAAGGTCCTATATTAGATGTCGATAATAGTAATGAGTATAATTTCGAAAATAGAAATGAATATAATGGTTGCCTTTTCGAATTGGTACATGTATGATCCAGTAGCTTTACAGTAAGCGGGTACCTAGGTGTAGTTGCACATGAAGTCGACGCTTGTTGAGTGCTCCTTATATCCTTTACAAAGGCAAATAACGTCCACTAATACAGACTGGAAATACAGTAATTGAGAAATAAACGACGACAGTCTACTAACATTTGAAGTTCGTTTCGACTGTTTGACGGAAATATCAATATCTATTCCTATTGGATGCGACAGCCATCACACCACAAGGCGGTGAACATCGGCAGTATGATGCCATTGAGCAGCATCTCCAACAATTAATCAACTAGAATAACTTTCACCATCACGACAGCTCTCGCACCAAAACGAAGAGCAAGAAAAAAAATGCCACGGAAAAAAGACAGACGGCAGAATTCGTCGTCAGCCTCCTCGAGTCAGCCGTTTCCGCCGATGGAGAGTGAGAGTCAGAGTTCGCCGTCGCAGACAGCAGCAGCAGCAGCAACATCAACAGACCGGAGTCCGCTCGAGGACAACGACTATCGTGAGGACGACGCAGGGCAGGAAAATAACAATAGCAATAATACATTCCACGGAATGGACAGTGGCAATGGCAATGACAACAACAATGCGGCCGCAGAAGTCGACGCCGGAATCGAAGTCGAAGATGAGGCAGATTTCCAATCGCAATACTCGCTCGACAACGGCTCCTTGGGGGAAGGAGGAGGAGGAGGAGGAGGAGAGTCGACGACGGCGTCGGATGAGGAGCTGGAACTCGAACTAGAAGAGGAACTAGAAGAGGAAGAGGAAGACGACGATCAAGATCAAGACAATGCAGCTGGTCGGAACGATGACAACAGCAACGTCGCAATGCATCGTCCCTTCATGCAGTCGACCGGCTCGCTCAACGGCCCCAACAACGCCTTTGCGCCGCCCTTCTACAACCGCCCGCCGACGCCGCTCCCGCCGTCGCCGTCGCTGACCTCCCTCCTGCGGCCGCCGTTCTCGACGACAACGTCGCGGCCCACGACGCCGGACACGTCTGACGCCGAGACGCCCAACGACACGGAGGCGGCGGTGGCCAAGTCGGCGCGGCATGCGACGACGGTGCCGCGGGCGAGTCCGAAGGTGCCGACGTACGAGTACTACGGGTTTGTGCTGTATTTGGCGTCGTCGTTTGCATTCTGTAAGTGCCTCACGCAGTGACAGCTATCTCAGGACGGAATTCATTGCTAATTGTTTTGCAGTAATCTACCTCCTCTGGTCGTACCTCCCCTCACCCTTCCTGCACCAGCTAGGCATCTACTACTATCCGAACAGGTGGTGGTCGCTCGCTATCCCGGCGTATCTAGTCATGACGATCGTGTACATCTACGTGGCGCTCGCGTCGTACAACACGGGGTACTTAACACTACCGATGAACAGCATCGAGAACATCGTGGACGAGGCGGCCAACATCGCCGTGATAGACGGCAAGGGGCGCCGCCGACCGGGTGGATCAGAGAAGATGAAGCCCGGCGCAGCGACGTCGCAGACGATGGGCGCGGTGCAGAACCGGCGGCCCTCGAACTGGAACTGGAAGGACATCTGGAGTGAGGGGACGGACGCGGTGATGGATATCCCTGTGGGAGGGGTCTGCGAGGTGTTGTACGGGCAGGAGAGGGAGAGAGATCCGGAGGAAGAGCAGGCTGAGTCGGAGAGCAGTACGAGTCGGCGGAATCATGAGTTTTCTTCTGATGCGCAGGGTCGAAGTCGATATGGTACGACGCGATATTAATGTTAATCTTAATATTAATGAAACTGTACTGTACAAAATGCGTATATATATGTATAGTTTAATGAAATGGCCATCTCTCTTCGTCTTTCATATCTGTCAACCTAGGCAGCAGCTAGCTATCATGCAGATAATCTAGATTTTTCTTTTCATTTGTGCCCCATACAGTATGTCTGACAACATCATACAGCATTCAGCATTGATCAAAAAGACCATGAAATAACTGTAACTAGATGAGTCATGGCAGACATAATATTTACCTTCAGATTGAACTAACTCTATTTAAGATATACACGTTATCTTAAGAATCCATCCAAAACAGTTACCTACCTACCTAATCTGATCTAATCACATTTAAACTAATTAAATCAAACACTGAACTTTTGCTATTTACTTGTGAGATGAGGACGGACAAACAAACAAAAAAAACGAAAATGCAATTAGTTATTCTGCACTGCTTATATTCCATTCTGATAGATATAGATATAGATATATTAGGTATATATAACATTGAGTGGCAGTAATAGTAGATGAATCAATCAGACATTAAATAAATAATTAATTAATTAAGTTAGACAGCTAGACAGACAGACAGACATTAAACTAAATATTTACCTCTCAGATTATTAAACTTGAATTAATTAATATTCGCGTTATCTTATGCATCCAAAAAATGACACCTAATACCTACCTAACACCTAATCTCATTAAATTAAATTACATTAAACACTAAATAAGAAATACTAAATACTGACTTGACATTTATTTACAGACGAGGATTAATAAACGATATTCCATACTATATGTATATATAAAGGCAGTAAGTAATATTAGTGGATGAGCAAACCAACCAACCAACGAACAACAAGTGCAATGGAATGCAATGCAATGCCACGCAATGGGTTAATTATTCTTTTTTTTCTTAATAAATAATCACGTGTAATTATAATATACCTACCTACCTAGCTAGCTACCTAGCTAGCTATCTAATATGACTACTAGCCTGCGTGATGTAATAGTAATATACAGTATTACCTTAGGTAGGTAGGGAGGTACGGAAGTACCTTATATAAGTAGATAAGTAGGTAGATAGGTACAGTACATACCTAGGTAGGTACCTAGATAGGTAGATAACTGGGTAGATGAACTACTCCCATTCCCATTTCATTTCCATTTCAATTGCAATTGCACTTCAACGGCACAGTGCCAGTGTCAATCAATGTCAATTCCACTTCAATGACATTCATGAGCAAGGCAATGCAATACAATTCAATGCTAACCCTAAGACAGACAGACAGACGGGACGGACCATATTCATTCATTCATTTATCTATTTGTTTAGTTTTTCTCTTCCATGCATCCAAGAGGGGAATAAAAGACAACATCAATCAGAATCCGATTGATTGATTGATTGATTGATCCATCGATAGGATAGGCAGTACTCAGCGGAGTACCTAGTACCTACCTACCTACCTAGGTAGCTAATAGAATAATAGGAGTAGGAGTAGGAGTACATTCATTTGCATTACACAAGAAAAACAAAAGCAAGCTAGTAAGCAAGAAGCAAGCAAGCGCCATTGTACGAAGGTAATAGGTAGTAGGGCAGACAGCAGGCAGGTATATCACACAGAAGAAACAAGTGAGAAACAAGGGGGAAACAAGAGGGGGAAAGGGGGAATGAAACGGGGAGTACATAATAGTAGTAGCACATGATGAGATGAAAGGGAAAAAAAAGAACAGAACAAATGCCCGGCTGCTCAGCTCAGGAAGGATGAATGACGCCATTGCAAATGCTCGACAGGAGAAAAAGAAAAAAAAACATTTCCAATCGATTGAATCGCTCGACAAATGTAATGTACGTCGTAATCATCTCGAAAACACCTTCACAACGCCATCGCCTCCGCCGCTCGCTACCCACCGGCCATCGCGGCTCCAGACAACAGAGCACACACCCTCGCCCCGCATCACCCGATGGCTCGTAATCTCCTGCGTGCAGCTGCGCTTCTCCAGCGACCAGAACCGCAGGCTCGCGTCGTGCCCGGCTGATACCAGTTCCCGGCCATCAGGCGACAGAGACAGCGACGAGATGGCAGCGGGGTGCGCCAGCATGGTGTAGGTGCATTGGCCTGAGACGTCAGTATCGAATTGCCACGTTTATATTTGTTACGTCGGACTTACCGCTGTTGGCATCGAAAAATCGAATGTATCGATCCTCGTAGCCGCTGATAATCACTCCCTCGACACCCCCGCTCGTGCCCGTAGCCCCATGCACCACGGCTTCCTCCTCCGTCAACGCCCGGTTCGGATCCAGATTGGCCGTGCCATCGAATCCGATCGTGCTCGTCACCACCGAGTTCACTCCCGTCGAGGGTGTGCCATCGTAGGTCTCGAGACTAGCCATCCCAACCACTTCCTCGCCAGTCCTAGTGTCGTAAACCAAGATCGACGCATCCGTGTACGAGACCACAAAGTTCACGCCGGCCAGCGACAACGGGCTGATGCACGTGGGAGAAGGCGAATCGGGGCGCATGATGTGATGCACAAGTGTGTAATGAAACGGCGTGCTCGTTGCAGTGCTCGGCTGCGGTGACGATGGGAAGTTGGATCCAGACGATATCGAATTGGCCCGTCTGCCAGCGCCCCGGCGTGCACCAGGCTGAGGGGACGTCACTTGAGGCGGCGCGCTCACAGCCCAGATCAAGATCCGGCCGTCAGCAGCCCCCGACGCCAGCAGGATGCGATCGGGTCCTCCGTAGTTGCTGCATCGATCGCCAAACACGGATCCCGCAGTGCCCGGTAAGACGCACAGCCCCCAGACAGCATCGGTATGCCCATCCAAGGTGGCTTTCGGATCGACCCGGCCGCGCTCCCAGACACGCACGCTGGCATCTTGTCCGCCAGAGAACACCCAGCCATCACCCAGTGCACGACCCCCGTTGGAGAAATTCGGCGACGCAGGGCAAGCCGCCAGCGCAGTCACAGCGCCAACGTGGCCCCGATGCGTGAAGTAGCTCGTAATATCAAGGTCGTTTGCCGTCGTGCTACCGCTGCTGCCGTACGATGCCGGAAGGATCCACCGCTTGATCGTGCCGTCATCACTGCAGGTACAGATCTCGGGCTCAGATGGGCTACCGCCGCCAGTGAAGATGACTTGTCGCACCACGTCCAGGTGACCGCGGAGCGCGAACCGGACCTTGAAGGTGGAATCCGTCTTCTGCTGTGCGGCTCCCGTGACGTCTCTGGTCTCCGAACTGCCATCCTTGCGCCGGGAGGACCCCGAGCTCTTTCGGCGGTGAGATCCCCGGGGCGGAGATACGAAGTTCGCGTTGGGGAAGGCGTCGGTGTCCGGTCGGCGGGGAGGAATGCTCTCCAACTGCGTCTCCTGACTGGATGTGTCATCGAAATTCCACCCGTCTGGATCCTCTGGGGCATCCTCCGTCTGGCGCTGCTGCGGCCGAGAATCCTCCTCAACAGGCATTTGGCGACCATAGGGATCCAAGGTCTGTTTTCCCGCCTCAGCACGATCATCGCTGTCAGCGGCGGGCTCCATGGCATGCTTCCTGTTGTCGATCGCCGTCAGCGGGGTCTGCTGAGTCTCAAAGTTCCTGCGCTCGACTGAAGCCATCGGACGGCCCATTCCGCCATTCTCAGCGTAGTTGGACATCATGGGCTGGTGGTTCTGCAGAGCCGCCTCTCGGACCATCATGTTGTTCTGCTGCTGTTGCTGCTGCTGCTTCTGTCTCTGCTGGAGATAGACGTCGTCGAGACTCTGCTGGGGCATCTGCTGGTTCCCGTACAGGTTCCCCTGGAGGTCCTGATCGGTGAGATCGGGCGGGGGGTGCGAGGCGGGAATCACATGGTAGGCGACTTCCTGCGCGCACTTGTTCAGAAACACGCGAGACTTCTCCCGTTCAGCATCGTGGCGGATATCGAACTGGTTGAGGTCATCGGCCTCGGTATCGGTATCGAGGAAGGTATTGTTAGACTTGGCACGTGCTATAGTAAGAGATTCCGGTCAGCTCAATTTCCCAACAAATGAACCCAAACGGTAGAAAAGGCAGCGCGCACAGTTCTCTCGGAGGTTCTTCAGACTCTCCTTGGCGATCTCCTTGGGGTCGCGGTAATCGTCCAATTTTTCGCCGTTGGTCAGGATGCGGACCTTCTCGCGCTCCTTCTTCAGCGCCAACTCCAGCATCCGGACATGCTTGCTTAGCGACTCGTGCAGCCGTTTGCTGGTCCGCACGTCCCCTTCCAGGCGACCGATGCGAGACTTCATCTCTGCGCGCTCGATCTCCCACGCGTTGCGGTCTCGCTCGTGCCGGTGCCATTCCGTCTGGAGGAAGCGCATGACGCCTGCGAGCGAATCGAGTGGTCAGAATACCGGTCAGACAGAATAAGCAACAGTAACGCTGAGCGCCCACTTACCTTGCAGCGTGTACTCGGTGCCCTGGGGCTGCTGCTGCTGTCCACCACCGCCAGGGACGCCGTCCCCCGGCGCACCAGGGAGCCCACCACCACTCCCGGCCATGGCAGAGGGAGACTGCCAGGCCATGTGATCAAGGCACCAATGGCGGAGTCTTCACGAGAGCAGCGGCGTGCGGGACGTGGAGAGATGCTGGACAGTCGGTTTCCTGCTCGCAAAATGGCCAAGTGACCAGAGCGTCGTCACAGCGCGGGCTGGCTGGCTGGCTGGTCTTGGCTGGGCTCAGCGTCGTCGATCAGGGACACGTCGAGAACGCGGGAGGCAGAGAGCGTCGGGTTTCAGCACATGCAGCGTGTCTGAGGGTGGGCAGTTGAGATCTGGCGCTGGAAAGGCAAGCAAGCAGTCTGTCGAGGTCGCGCGTGTCTCGTCGGCCGTCTCTTTTCTCCGGCTGCGGCGGCGCTAGGTTCGTCGCTGTTCGCCGCTAATTAGCCGCCTGAGCGGTGTGTCTGCAGTAGAGTACAAGCTGTGTATTCAACCAGAGAGCTTTAGTAGGTCAATGTGAGTCCAGAAAACAGAGAGAGAGAGAGATGGAGGAGAGATGTTTTCTAGCCCAATCCTAACCAGCCCAGAGACTGCGGTGGGATTATTTTCCGCCCGTGCACCAAAGCGGAGAAGAATCGATAACAGCGAGACAGATTCTCCTGAAATCGCCTACTCCCTTCTGTTCAGACAATCCCAGGCAACACTCTTCGATCAGGAACTGGGTGGCGTTTTGCGTTCGCTGAGTGGCTTTACGAAGCAGAAAACAGCCAGTCCTGACGCTTCTTCGAGACTCCTTACATGTAGTACGCTGAGCCTGTAATAATGCTGTGTATTATTGGTACGCCACTGATACGATATAATTCCCTGACTCAGTCAATGCAGCAGAAGACTGTTTGATCGCAGAATATGCCGTAGTACAGGCTCTGAACGCCTTGACGGGCTTGACTGATGACAGTAACCGATCTAGCGCTGGGACATACTGCAGACCATGTCGTTTTATATCCTTCCCCATAATGTTCAATCTATATTTCTTGCAATTCTTCATTTCTTTGATAATACGTAATAGAATCCGGTCGTGATGATTATAATACATAGCCGTCAATCATGAACCCACAGAGCCAAAAGAACAGGGTATATCTATAATACAGACAGATCACCACCGCAACGCGACAAGCAGCAGTCAGAATTCCAGCTCTTCGACTTCCATCCCACAGTCCACACACTTCTTCACGCCGATCCCCGTCTCCGGATTCTCTACCGCCCGCCCCCATTGATGGACATGTCGCCCTCCACCTCCCAGGTCGTCTCCGAAATTCCCTCCCGCCGCGCCGTTGCGGTTGCGACGGTACGCCTCCACGAGCGTCCGCTTCTTCAGATCCTGCAGTTTCGTCTTGAACTTGGCTTCGCGCCGGCGCTTCTTCTCGCTCTCGCGACGCTCGAACTCGGCGTCCAGCGCCTCCGGAGACCCCCACTTCTTGGGCGAAAAGGCATACTCCTCCACCTGGTACCGCAGGTAGAGCATCATGTTGTTCCACGTGGCCTTGTGCGGGTTGGGCTTCTCCATGTGCGGCAGCAGCTCTTGATCCCGGAGTTCCGCTGGAAATCAGTCAGAATTGGTCGATAGATAATAGATACAAGAATCGTAAAGATTAAAGAATACTCACGGTCTGTCAGGAGATAGTCCTCCTTCACCTCCGTCTTCGTAAGCAGGCTATATTTCTCCGGGTATTTCTCCTTGCAACCGCTGCACACGCAGCACTTGAAGCACTCCTCCCACTTCCAGTCGATCTCGAGGCTGCCGCACTCGCGACACGTCTTCTGCTGACTCTTGTCGTCCAGCACGCTGAGGCCCGGCTCGAACGGTCCCGCCCGATCCCGACGCAGACGCTCGAGCAGCTGGTGTCGCTCCCACTCGCGCTGCGTCATGTGCGCCGGTTTCTGCTCCTCCTTGCCGTCCCGCACGTGCAGCGCCTTGTTGTACGGATCGTCCTCCTCCGTCAGGAACCCGCCTTTGGTGTCGGTCATCTTGCTGAAATCGTAATCCACGTACTTGGCAAAGTTGCGCGCGGGCCGGATCGCGTCCAGCGGCCGATCCGTGGACGCTCCATTTGCTCGACCATCGCGCTGTGTCGCGGGGGTGTCTGATGCAGTCATCGAGGCAAACGACCGTTTGACTCCGGTGACAGACGGTGCAGCAGCTGCTGCTGCTGCCTTCTTTGCCTCTTCAGCCTCACGTTGCTCACGGATCGCCTTCGCCTTCATCCGATTGATTTCCTGGCTCCTGCGTTAGCGCAGTGGATTCAAAATCACCATTTGAAGTGCGAACATACTATTCGGCGCTGCTGCTCCGGCGTCAGAGGACCGCGCGGGAGCTGGCCCGACGGGGTGGCCTCCGCAGGAGGAGGCGGAGTCGAGGGACGCTGTTCATCCATCTTCAATGGGAGAAGATGGATGATCTATGCCTTTCCAGCCAGGGGGCGTTCTCAAGTTGTGGAGGACCGGTGCTCCCTGCTTTTGTTGGAGTTGTCTATCGATAGGCGTTATCAGGACGCCACATGTGAATGCCTCAGGCGGAAAGGTACCTAGGTACCTAATCCATTTACATCACGTGACGTTCTCAGCAATATCCAATGGCATCCACGCTGCATTCCTTCATATCTACTCCGTAAGATGGGCTTCTGAAGCAGTATCTGGCTGTAGGAAAGAGTCTATTTGTAGAATTTCACTAGAAACAATGCGCCTACGTAATACTGCCATCATATCGATTGAAACGTTCCAAAGACATCAAAATAAAAGACACACAGAATGGTCTATCCATCAAGCCAGATATGCATTGATTAACGCTATCGACTGCTTTCTGCTTCCCAGGCACGTTTGAAAACTCCCACTAACCGCAACGCCGCGGGAAGATCCTTGAGCCGCTGCTCCAGGAAGCCCTCCAGGTTGGTCCAGAAAGCGTCCGTGGCGAGGGCTTCCAACCCACTCACCTCCTGGCCGGGCTTGGGCTTGGGAGGTGATGGTCCTGTCGCTGGCGCCTTTGCTGCTGCTGTCGTCCGGGCGGTAGCAGGCTTGACGCTCGCGCCTCCCATGATCATAACACCGAATTCGACCGTCTTCCCTCCGCTCAGGGCATCCGGCTCCGAGTCCGCCAGGATCTCGGAGAGTGTCTTCTCGGCACTGCCGCCGACAGGTTTCTTTTTGTACAGGATCTTGATCTTGTCCGCGGGCACGGGCTCGTTGGTGCTGCCGTCGCCGGCGACGACGCGCTCGCGCACTGCCTCCCGCAGGTCGTGGACCGTGGTCGTCGCCAAGGGCGCATTGTCAATGGAAAACTCCAAGACCGGATTCCGGGCAGATTTCAGCTGAACGGTGACTGATTTCAACGAGCCGGGGGCTGCAGCCGTCTTGATCTTCTTCGGCATCGGGGGATGCGGGGCCTGGAGGCGGGGGAGGGTGTACTAGACCATCATCACAAGGAACATTTGTGTTAGCTTCAATCTTATCTCTAGATACTGCCTCATGGATTCTCTAATCCAAGGGCATAAGTAAAATCAGGCAGGAGACGACGTACTGGCCCACGCATTCCTATCGTCTGCGGGTCAACGACATGGTCGGGCCGCAGCTTGACCGGGCGGGCATCGAGAGCGGAGAGAAAAGATTTGGCGAAGGCGAGTTCTGTCATGATGAAATACAAAGAGCAAAGAACCGTGTCTCAAGATGCCGTGTACAATGCGAGTTCTTGTAGCTAGTACTTCCACGATGTACGTTCTTATCGCGTGGATTCGCAGCAGTTCCAAAGTTGGAGATGCTCACCGCCTTTGCGGGATCTGATTCTGCCCACGCTCACCGCTTTACAACGGAAAAAAAAAAGTCTCGAATCCAAGCAAATTTCGGCCCACATTCAATTCACAGATCGCAGATTTGTCACCAAACAGCCCTCCCTCTTCTGCTGTTTAATTTCTTTTTAATCGGCAGGCATCATGGGTAGGGGCCGTCGCATGAATAAGAAACAGGGGCCCCCGCCCCCGCTTGACGAGTCCAAGATCACCATCCTCAAGAAGCGAAAAGCCGCCGAGGCCGACGCAAAGGAAGAGACAGGCAAGAAGCGGAGGAAAGCCGAGCTTGAGCAGGAGCAGAAGCAAAAGCAAAAGCCGAAGCAGAATGGGGTAACGGTCAATGGGAAAGCAAAGGGCGACGGCGCTGACAAGCCCGCAAAAAAGGAAAAGGAAATTGAAAAGAAGAAGCCGGCCAAACTCATTGAATCGGAGTCCGAAGATGATGAGGAGGATAGCTGGGGCAGCGATGCCGAAGATATGATGGATGATGAGTTCGATGACCTTGACGGGGTCAGCGATGGGTCTGGCGGAAGCAGTATGGAAGAGGACGAGGAAGACGGCAAAAAAGTTTTCGACGAGGATTCCGTGTTCGATTCAGAGGAAGATGAAGAAGATGAAGAAGACCATCCCCGGAAGTCCATGTTCTCGGACGACGAAGACATGTCTGATGCAGAGGAGAAACTAACGGCAGCCAACATGGAGGGTCTGTCGCGCAAATTGGACCAGCAAAAAGCAGAGGAGGAGGAGGAGGCTCGAAAGGAGATGCAAGATTCGGCCTTGCAGACCAACATCGCAGGCGATCGTCCCGACGTGTTTGGGGAGGCCGAGGAGCTGAAAAAGGCTGGGCTGGCCCCGGACATGAAGCTGCTCCGGACGCGCATCACCGAGACGATTCGCATCTTGAGCGACTTGCACAATCTGGGCCAACCGGGCAAGTCCCGCGCGGACTACCTGCAGCTTTTGCAGGACGACATCTGCGCATACTACGGATACACGCCATTCATGGCTGAAAAGCTCATGTCGCTGTTCACCCCGATGGAAGCGTTTGCCTTCTTCGAAGCGAACGAGACGCCGCGTCCGGTGGTCATCCGTACCAACACGCTGCGCACGAACCGTCGCACACTGGCCCAGGCGCTGATCAACCGAGGTGTGGTGTTGGAGCCCGTGGGCAAGTGGTCCAAGGTCGGTCTGCAGGTGTTCGAGTCGCCTGTGCCTCTGGGTGCTACACCAGAGTACCTGGCCGGCCACTACATGCTGCAGGCAGCCTCGTCCTTCCTCCCTGTCATGGCTTTGGCTCCGCAGCCCCACGAGCGTATTCTGGATATGGCCGCCGCTCCTGGTGGTAAGACGACATATATTGCAGCGCTGATGCGGAATACCGGCGTGATCCTGGCCAACGATGCCAACAAGGCGCGTGCCAAGGGTCTGATAGGTAACATCCACCGTCTGGGAGTCAAGAACACCATTGTATCGAACCTCGATGCCCGCGAGGCATTCCCCAAGATCATGGGAGGGTTCGATCGGGTTCTGCTCGACGCGCCCTGCACGGGTACTGGTGTCATCTCAAAGGATCCCAGCGTCAAGACGTCCAAGACGGAGCGGGACTTCTTGGCCATTCCGCACATGCAGAAACAACTGCTGCTTGCAGCGATCGACTCGACGGACCACCACTCCAAGACGGGCGGTTACATTGTGTACTCTACGTGTAGCGTGACGGTGGAGGAGAACGAGCAGGTGGTGCAGTACGCGCTGCGGAAGCGGCCCAACGTGAAGATCGTCGACACGGGACTGGGCGACTTCGGCAGCCCGGGATTCAAGAGCTACATGGGCAAGCAGTTCGACCCGAAGATGACGCTGGCGAGACGATACTTCCCGCACCGGGAGAACGTGGATGGCTTCTTCGTGTGCAAGCTGAAGAAGACTGGTCCCAGCCCGCACATGACGAAGAAGGGAGCAGCTGCAGCCAACAAAGACGCTGCCGGTGCAGAGAACGCCGACGGCGCGGCCGGCGAGGAAGAGGTCGTCGACAAGACGCCCATCACAGACGAGACCGGCACACCGTTCGGCGAGCCTTCCTTCGGCCCGTTCGACGACGATGCCGACGCGGAGATTATCGCACGGGGCGAACGCAGACGTATCCGGAAGAAGGGATTGAACCCGAAGGCGGTGCTGAACAAGCCGAAAAAGGGGGCAGCCAAGGAGGAGAAGAACGAGCAAGATCAGGACCAGGACCAGGACCAGTTCTCTTCTTCTTCTTCGGAATCTGACAACAAGAAGAATGACACCGACAGTAATAATAAAGAGGAAGAAGAGAAGAAAGAAGATGCCAAGTCTGCCGACAAGACCGACAAGACCCAACAACCCACCGAGTCAAAGGATCAAGAAAAGCAAGAAGGAAAGCAAGAAAAGGAGCAGAAACAGAAACAAAAACAAAAACAACAATCATCAGACAAACCCAAAAGCCCCAAGAGTCCCCATAGTCCCAAGGACAAGGGTAAAAAATAAATAATAGCCCTAGCTACCTACCTACCTAGCTACCTAGCTTTGTGAGCTTGTGATAGGTAGAGATAGAAATAATTTTTTTTTCTTCTGTTTCTGTTTCTGTTTTTCTTGTATGTAGGTTTATTTAGGTTTAGGTTTAGGTGCATTGGAAGATATCAATTAAAAAAAAAAGCATTGTTTTATTGGATTTTCTTGTCTTGTTTTCTGTGATTTATGTGGCATTGGTATCGGCGTCTGTCCTGTATATACAGTATGTAACGCAATTCATTTTATATTTATTTCTGCCGTGTCTGTTAGGTATTATATATATATGCACATACTATGCACATACGTACGTAGATCGGTGGTGCTCTGTTACTTTTTTTTATACTCTGTTCCCGGAAAAGGTACTATATACAACTAAATATAACTTCCTGTAATACCAACACAGTACTATATATATACATCCACACACACATATATACTCTATAGCATCGCTTTCGGAAAATCCTTCATCGCCTGCCTCACACCCAGATCGGCCAGAATCTCCTCCGTCCCGCCCAGGATAGCATCGAACTTGTACGTCCGGTTGAACATCTCAATCACGCGGCCCATGCCCGTCTGCGTCAGGCCGCGGCCGCCAAAGATGTTGGTCGCCAGGTCGGCGATCTCGCCGGCGGAGCGCGTGGCGTGCAATTTCAGCAGGCCGATGGGCCCGCCCAGGTGTTTGGCTTGCTCGGCGTAGGTCATGTTGCACATCTGGTGGGTGATGGATTCGAGCCAGGCTTGGTTGGATTCGCAGAGGGAGATCATGCGGGCGAGTCTGCATCATTTTATCAGTAAGGAGAAGAAAGAGGAGGAGGAGGAGGAGGAGGGAAAAGACGCACTTCTGTCGAATGGCAGGCTGCTCGATCAGCTTCTTCCCGAATACGATCCGCTGGTTGCACCATTTCAGACACTCCTCCACCACCGTCATGCACATGCGCACCACCGCGCACACCATCATGAACCGCTCGTGGTTGAAATTGCTCATGATGACGATGAAGCCCTTGTCCTCCTCGCCTAGCAGGTTCTCGACCGGCACCTTGACGTTGTCAAACTGCACAAAGGCCGTCGCTGCCGCGGTCGAGTACGACGTCTTGATCGGCGTCGTCTCGACGCCTTCGCCGCGCGGGATCAGCAGCACCGAGAATCCCATGCGCGTTCGACACCCGGTCACGAAGTAATCCGCGAACATGCCGTTGGTGATCCATTTCTTGGTCCCGTTGACGATGTAGTACTTGCCGTCCGGCGTCTTCTCCGCCGTCGTGCGGAGACCGGCCACGTCGCTGCCTGCAAACGCCTCCGTGATCGCGAGACACATCTTCTTCTTGCCGGACAAGACTTCGTCCATCACTCGATCCCGCAATGGCTTGTTTTTCAACCACTGCTTCACTGCCGTCAGGCTGATAGCCATGCCCGCCATGTTTCCGTCTTGGAAGCCTGCCAGACCTGTCAGAACAGACATCAGATCTCAAGGCGAAAGCACGTACCCCTCGCATTAGCCCGGACCAGCTCCTGCGCCACAATCATGTCGTGGAAATAGTCGAATTCCTTGCCGTCGACCACCCCGCCCAGCAACGTCCGGTTGTGCAGGTGCTCACCGGGCCCCAGGCGCATGGCCAGAATGTTAGTCTCCGCCATTCGATCGATCAGCTCCTGGCTGATGTAGGTGCCATCCTTCTCCTTCTGCTGCGCCTCTGGCGTGACGTATTTGTCAGTAAACTCGCGGATCGCGCGCTGCAGCCGGCGATGGCTGTCCTTGTAGTACGGGCTCGAAAACTGCGGGCGCAGCCACAGGGGCTCTGCGTACGGGACGGGGCTCAGATCGCCGGGTTTCTGCTCGATCACTTCGGGTGTCTCGCCTTCCAGCACGCCAATGCAGAGGCTGTCCTTGTACCTCTCGAGGACCTCCTGCCGGTGCAGGTTGTAGAATTCGGCCGTGGCGTCCTTGCCGGCGACCTGGGCCAGCACGACACTGCCACCGGGGTGTGCGTCGAGGAAGTCAGTCAGATCATAGACGCGATGGTCAATAATGCACCAGCAGTCGTCGGGCTTGTTGTGCTTGGCGACTTCGGCGCGAGTGAGGGGAGGATGGGGCTGGGGCATGGTGGGCAAACCGGAGCTCGACAGTCACGACGAAGTCAAAGTCGAGGTATGTCTGTATATACAGTGGAACCAGAAATGAAATATAAATATAGAACTAAAATACCCCAAGACACAAATAAACGTTGTAGAGGAGAAGAAAGAAGATCAGATGTCCGTCGCTTCTCGAATCCGGGGAAGACCGACAAGCCGAGGCACTTCGGCCGAATCGCAGCACAGGCAATCCGCGGGGAAGGCAATCCCAGCGTTCTGATTGGTCCCGCGTGGGCGGAAGCATGTGGTTGCGGCTTTGTATTGGCTGGGCGGTTTATTTCTAGATTTGGAGTGCATGTTTTCTCCCATTAAAGCAGCAGAAGAGCTTGAAAGGACCATGGTCATAGCAGCATAATCGATTTCTCTTGCCAGCTTGCAAAATAAATATCTGGCAAATATACTTTTTCCTGCAGTCTTCTGCTGAGTTGATAGCACAATAATGCTGTGTGGATAGGTAAGCCATGTGCATTTCAGCAAGCACTATGGAACTGGAAGAAGCAGTCTTAACAGATGCTAAGCCAAAAGATACAGAGGGAAATTGCCCAACTGCACAAGCTTATTTAGATTCAGGGTCAAAGAGCGGTGGGTCGTTATCATACGTTGTCGAAATCATCATCTTCATTGCTTGAGATACAGTTAATGTCGTTAAATAATGTTTTTCCAGCTGAACAAAAATGTCTGCCATTTGACCGCATATCGACCTAGGCCTCTCTTCCAAGATCTCAGAGTCTAAGATGGGCTGGTCCTTATCTTGAGACCTGGTGTGTTGAGGGCACCGACAAGATCGCAGTCGTTCTCAATGTACTCCATGATAATGAAGGGGCCTAGCTCAGACAGAACCCAGTGCTCTAACATGCATCTTGACAGAAGTTGAGGCTTTGGTGGAGCTGAGAATAGCGATTGGAACAGCACTAACGCTGCACGAAGAGGATGGCATGAGTTTCAAGGTTAATCTCACCATACATAATCTAGGAGCCAGCAGGTGGCTGAGTGATGATCTGCCTACTTACCCGGGCACTGAAGAGAGTTCACTGGTTAGTAGGGGGGTCCTGACTCAAAACTATAATAAGGTGCTTATAGGTTTAAGTCCTGTAGCTGGCATAACTATAGTAGGGGAAATATGTAACCTATATATATGTTCTCTGTACTGGGAGAGATGGGGTAATATATGACTTGGTTCCAAATTACTTACCTTCCCTCCTAATTCTCGATGCCTAGGTAGTATATAGTAAGATTGCTTAAGGTTTTGGTGGTTTTCCTTAGGGGTTGGTCACCTTATAGCTTAAAATTATAGGGGCCAGCATAACGTAATCCACCACCGAGCTGCGCGGACCACCGAGCTGCGCGGTCCCCGAGAAAAAAATTCAACCACCAACACAACCGTAAATCTTGAAGCATTTTGCAACCAAATTTAATGAATTTGACTATATAAAGAAGGAGACTGTTTACTAGGGCATTTAAGCCGATTATGGCCTGTTTGATTGCAATTACTGCATCTTGGTGGCCTTCGAGTCCGTGGTCTAGATGATTCCTGTAGTTGCTCCTCATGCTCTTGAGCTTTTTGCTGTCCTTCAGCACCTGTCAAGCTACCACCAGTTGCTATAAAGTATCTTGATGCCTCTCGC